GTACAAACCTGTGATGGATTGTAGTCCAGAGAAGGAGCTGGATAGGGTGTTCGGGGAGAGCGTAAGGGAAAAGGTGGTCGCAGAGGTCCACAACTCCAGCCCATTGTTCTGCCACTGCTTTACACTTGATTAAACCACCAGGGCATTGCCTCAGGCAACTTGAGAACATCAAGCGGCTCTCTGCGAAAAAAAGAAAGGGGAGGCTTGGTACAACCGGACCAAAATGGCTGGCAGTGCCAGCCAAAATGACAACAAAAACACCACACTGGCGCTTCTGCAAAGCTTGGTGTGCGGGGGAACCCTGCCTTGTACAAAAGAGTCTCCGATGTACTGGTGGTTTAAACAGTGTATATTATATAATGTTGTTCTTGTTCTGACGTTCCGTCAAAGCTTGGCGCACCGGGGGAATCGGGCTTTATACAAAAGAGGCTCCCATGTACTGGTGGTAAACCGCCAGTACCTTTCCCAGCCAAAAAAAAAAGAGCCTGCCGGTGAACAAGGAGGCCGGCGTTGGCCTTGTGCGGCGGCCAGATTCATCCCGAATCGTTGGCACGCAGGGCCCTCGGCCAACATGTGGGAAAGGTACTGGCGGTTTATCAGTGTCTATTATGTCTTCTTGTTCTTGTTCTGAGTGGACCGGACAGATGTCTGAGCTGTTTGGGTCAATGTTCCTTCTTATAATATGCAGCCAGTGATTGACAGGCAGGGCAGCGTATGTATTGAGCCAGTGGAGGCTTCTAACCTTAACAGGAGTATGGCTCTTTTTTTTTTTTTTTTTTTTTTTTTTTTTTTTTTTTTTYAAAGGGCCCAGTGCCCAAGGSTGATATTATCAATAARAAGCTTGAGGCCGGGGTCCTCACAGTCTACCCGGAGTGTCCGAACCGATCATGCTGAGGACCGGGCTCAGCGTCCCTCGTATGATGATGATGATGATATGGCTTCGTACTTCTTCCACAATGTTTTCGAAATTTGGTTGGCCTCGTGTCCCATAACGAAGACTCAGGCGACCTATGGAGATAAAAGTGCCTTAGACCACCAGTACTTGGCCCATACATCGGCTGTGGGCACTTCACGTTAATGTGCGGCAACTTTCAGGGCGTGCTCCGGAGAAAAATAGCTGGCAGCGTCAGCCAAAATAAGGCCGCACTGGTTCGGTTTTGTTTTGGCGCGCAGGGCATTTCCAGGGTCGGAGAAAAGTGTGTCGGAAGTACTGGTGTTTTTGTTTTTTGCTGGAGGCCGCGCCGATTTGTTTTTTGTTTGGTGCGCAAGCGTAGGGCGTTTCCAGGGTCGGAGAAAAGTGACTCGGGAGAACTGGTAGTTTAAACTACCAGCCGCCAGCCTCACGGCGACTTTCGGATGGCGATGAAAGCCATTTGATGAGATTTATCAACGGTGGCCTGGGCCCGACAGTTGCGGCGTGTTAACGTGAGGGGCTTGGGGCCGATATATGGGGGCCAAGTACTGGTGGTTTAAGCAGAACAGCCACACTGGTGCATGGGGCCCTGTTTTAAACCATGGTTACCCCCAAGTAAACTTACCAAACTGGTGCATGTTTCCAAGCTGGGAGCACAGCCCCAAAAGTTTTGGGCCTACTGGTAGCAGCAGGGATGAAAGGTATGTGTAACTGGTGGACCCCACTCTGCTTTTGCTAAGCCGTTGGAAGAATTTTTCCAGGTTCAACTGATGGCAGCGAAAGCAGGGAACTTTGTTTCTACTCTGCCGCCCTCCTCCGCTTTTCCGACACTCCATCCGATTCCAGTGCCTCCTTTATGCACCGAATGACTGAAATGAGAGGGTAGGCCCCCAGCGTACCCTGTCATTTCAGCCGTCCTATGTGGAAAGGAGGCCCTGGGATTGGATGCAGTGCTGGCAAAAGCAGAGTTTGACTTGCCCGAAACATAAAGCTACGAAGGTGCTGTAAACTGCTGTCATGGTTTTTGTGATCTCTTGCCTTCGCCCTCTCGTGCAAGTCTTCTTGATTGTGTAACATAAAGCTACGGGAAGGTGTTGAAACTTGCTGTCGCGGTGGGATCCGTTTTCTCTAGCCTTGCCCATCCCCGTTGGCTATGATTTCTGGACCATTCTGGTTTCTGAAGGTTCCAGACTTTTGCCAGCCGCTGCGCTCTTTAAGTCTTCTGCCACAATTTTTCTTTTTTCTTTTTTTTCCTTTTTTAATTTATTAAAGCTTGATTTGATATATATACATATAGAGTTCAGCCTCCTGATGAGTAGGTGAAACTCCGATGAAACAGTTTGCCACAGCCCCTCGTCAGCCCCTCGTTTGTTGTCCTCTTCTCCCTCTCTGCCTACGGTTTACCGGGCAGCTCTGTTTGACTATATATATACCGACAGTCTGTAGAGTTTTCCATCTGGTGTGGGTGAGTGATAGTCTACTTTGATTTTGGTTAAGGTAGATTATCATTTACAGTGTAATCAGTGAGGGGATTCTGCAGACTGTTGAGGGTTCAGCCTCCTGATGAGTCGGTGAAACTCCGACGAAACAGTTTGTCACAGCCCCTTGTTTGTTGTCCTCTTCTCTCTCTCTCTGCCTACGGTTTACCGGGCAGTTCTGTTTGTGACGATATATATTCATAGCCTTGCACGTGAGAGGCACAGTGGAGGTGGAGTTCAAAGAAGAATGAGAAATTTAATGGTTTCAATCTGCCCTTGTTTTTTATTTTTATTTTTATTTTTATTTTTATTTTTGCATGTTATCACTGTGCCCGTTTTTTGCTTTTATTCTTTGTTCCGCAAAGTGCGCTCTTTTAGTTTGTAGTGATGTGACAATATATTTTTATTCCTAACATTTTCAATTTTTTCAAATCTTTTTTTTGTTTTTCTCTCTCTCAGACCTCTTTTGTAACGACACCTGAGTGCAGAAAGTTGCCGAAGTTGAGTTTTGCATACTCATTTACCTCCTCTGGCTGGTAGGCCAACCCGTCCCATCCCTGGTATGGTTCTTGGCGCAATTTGCTATGATTTCAACAGGGACAGTGGTGGGTTAAAACCAGCCCACTTCCTTCTTTCAATAGGCTAGATTCCAGTGATGCTATATTTGTCCCAAGTTAGCATGAACCAGAGCAGCCTTGTGATCACTACTGTATGCTGTAAGCACAGACATGGCACCAACTGAGTGGGCTCGACTGTATAATATATGCCCGACATGACTTCTATCCTTCTAGGTCTTATGAAGATGCGTCCGCAGATGCATCTGACGACAGATATCAGATCGACAACAAAAGAAAAAGAAGGGCAGCAGTGTTATGTCCGCGCTAAGAAGGCTGAAATCGGGTTGCAGGAAGGACGGAGCACTAGTTGGATCTCGCATCAACTGGACGCAAGTGGCATCCGGTGTCCAGCATCTAGGTCCAAACATGCCCCCTGGGTTCGCACACGTAGGAGTAGGACTCGGGCCCTGCTGGTGCTATGCTGGATCATCTCCAGCAGGACTCTGCCAGGGCTCTGGGTTTTTGGGATAAGCAAATCAAGTTGCGCTAAGAGAACTGGAACCTGGTCACAGGGCAAACTTGGCACAAGCGGGGCACTCGCTGGATCTTGACTCAATTGGAGGCAAGTGGCATCCAGTAGTCCAGCATCTAGACCCAAACTTGCCCCCTGGGTCCCACCTGCAGGACCGGGCCCTGCTGGTGCTATGCTGGTTCTTTGTATTCTCAATATCTGACCTTACCAAGGCTTAGGACCGGGTCCCGTACTTGGGACTTGGCCGCTCGCCGAAACAGACTGTAGCAGGAGTCAAAATCATCTCCTGCATGGACTCTGCCAGGGCTCTGGATTCTGGAGTATGTGAATTCGGCTAAGTCATCTAGAATGTCAGTTGTAGAGCCATCATTATGATAGCGATCCAGTAATAAGAAAATCCCGGTGGAGTCCGGTGGACCCTACTTCATTATGCGAGAGCAAATGGAGACGGAAAGGCTGCTCTTGAAACATACTGTAGCAGAAGTCAAAGGCATCCCTGGCAGTCCTTTGGGACATCGGCTAAATTTGGAATGTGCAAGGATGACACGCACAAATTGAGAAATGGTTCCCCCCCCCACACGCACACACAATCCACACCCTCCCCCCAAAAAAGCATTTTTGGGAGGGACTCTGCTAGGCCTCTGAGTTTTCAAACGGCTGAATTTGGCCTAGCAATCTAGAATGTCAGGTGTGGACGTAACATGGGAATGCAGATCCACCAGTGCGTCCGGCTTCAAGACAGCCCCAGTGGACCCTAACTCAAGTTCAAGGGTATGACCTGTACTATGCCATAATGGTACTACCTACACACTTGTCTACGTGCTGCCATGCAGGAGTGCCGTAGCGGCCAGTGGTGATGCTGCCACTGTTTACCCCAATTCAGTACTGTCTTCTGTTTCGTTTCTTCTTTTTGATTTTTCCCTGTGTGTATGTGTGTGTGTGTGTGTGTGTGTGTGTGTGTGTGTGTGTGTGTGTGTGTGTGTGTGTGTGTGTCCGCGCGTGTGTCCGTGGGAGAATTCGGAACAAGATTATGGGACACTGTGTCTCGTTTAACGTACCCAAATGCCCAGCTGATCATCCTTCTGCGGATCACATACCTGCTTTGCTGCCCACATCGTTTTGGAGCGGGGTTCACTGCAGGTCTGCGATTGGTAACCTCTTTGTAGGGTGCTTTTGCCATTTATCCTGCTTTGGTGCCCTCCTTTGTAGTTGCCCCATGTTTGTGCCGACGCTTTGCGCCTCGACATAGAGGGGTTGGGGGTCTACCAACTTACCAGGCCCATGAACCCTTACGAAACATGGCTTGTTTTCCATGCAACCGTGCACAGGGGGTCGTATTCTTAGACATCGTCATGCTAGGGCGTATGTCTCGGCCCCAACCGCTCAATGGGAATGACGGCGTAGCGAGTCTGACTGGATCAAGTAACACCGTAACTTGTCTTCGTTCTTCCAAGGGGTTGAAGGGTACAGCAGATTCGCTTAGTCGAGATTAGTTCCCCTATGGTATGTACGATAACGTCCCTGCACCGTAACTTGTCTTCGTTCTTCCAAGGAGTTGAGAGGTCCAGAAGATTCCCTTTAGTCTAGATTAGTTCCCTATGGTATGTACGATACTGTCCCATCCCTGAGGAGTCAAGACTGTTAAGCTCAAACACTCCAGTCCCAGCACCGAAGCGATACCCAACAAACATTGTGGGCCTCGTTGTAATGCGGAGACATCATTAGAAAGCTCTGTCCTAGACTCTCCTCATGTCAGTCCTGCTGTATGTGCAAAAGGTGATGATGAGCAGAGCATGTTCCCATCGGTTCTTGGCTAGAACCAAAGGAGAATGAGAATGCCCCCAAAGCAAAAGTATACGGCAAGATGTTCCTTGGCATTGTCGTGGCAGCTTCGTTGGTGAGCTACAATGGTAGTTTTGACTGATGCTGATTGTCGTGGCAGCTTCGTCGGTGAAATAGACTGATGCTCCTCTTGAAGGTCTGAAAACTGGATGCAAAATTCACTCAGGCTTCTCTAAAAGGCTGGAAGCTGAACACAAAATTTATGAAAGGATCATACAACCCCCAAAGCAACCCCGCAACACCCCCCCCCCCCCCCCCCCCCCCCTTATCTAAGCCTCCAAAGGGATATATAAAAACAAGGACTGTTGATATTCTTGAACTCTCACTGCACTGATACTGGTACGAGGTTAATCGGTTAGCAACTTAGCAATCCCTAAATCTGAGAGCGTAACGTCTTCACCCGAATAGAACGCCTGGTCATTATCCCTGCATCTGGACCGAAAGCTGTGCCAAAGACAGCCATAATGACCAGGCGTTCTATTCGGGTGAAGACGGTAGGGGTCGTGCAGACCCACAACCAATGCAACAAAGATGCTCAGGATCCAGATGCAGCACCAGATAAACAATAGCTTGACAAATAAGGGCCTCAGAGTAGCAGAAGTCCACAAAGGTTAGGTACATAAAGAGTGCAGTCTAGGACAAAACTTTCCGATGGCGTCTGCGCCTCATGACGAAGCCATCATTGCACGGTATCGCTCGGGAACTGAGCCTGCATTTTTTTTTGCTTCGCAGCCTCAGCTTGATAAACAAGGCCTCTCAGAGTGCAACCGGATACAAGGGTACATTACAGTACCGTTCATTTCGTATGGTCCACAATGAACTTCACCGGAATATTTCGTATGGGCGTTACAGTAGTTTCTAGACTGGAAGTTGCCCCAAATATATATCTATAATAACTGTGTGTTCTATTCGGGTGTAGGCGGTAGTACACTTCATGTGTGTCTCACTGTCTCCTACACTTCATGTGTGTCTCACTGTCTCCTACACTTCATGTGTGTCTCACTGTCTCCTACTCCTACCCCTGCAGTTGTTCTGCGTTTGACCTGTTCCGCCGTTGGTCACACAGAAATTCCAATCTTTTTTTTATTGGACCATTTCTCGATTTATGCGTGTCATCCTTGCGCAGGGGCCATGCTAATCTTCTCTCTCTGTATCGTTCCAATTTTAACGGATGTCCCGAAGGACAGAAATTCCAATCTTGATCCCACCGAATTTCAATTCCAGCCTTTGCAGTTCATCTTGCACGAGCGTCAATGTTTCCTTCTTTCGCACACAGCATATGAGGACAAAAAAGGGAAAGCCCTCCTAAGTCATGCGGCTAAAAGTTGAAAACGAAGCAATGAAGCAATGAAGCATCCCTTTCTGCTGCACATAAGCATCTTTTTTTTTGAAGCCTCTTCTCTGTTTCCTTCCTTTACTGTGCAGACAAGTTAGTAGTAACCAGTTCATGTAACTGGTCATGCCTTGCGTACATATGCTGACCGTGTATGGCGTTTTCCCGTCATGTCTTTCTCCTTCATCTTCTGTTTCCGTTATATGCAGGCCTTCTCGCTCAAACACCAGTAAGGCGCACTTGTTGTCTTCCTTTCTGTACCTGGTCAACGTGACGAGCAGTTACTTGTTGATGTTGATTGTGATGACATACAACGCTGGACTGTTCGTTGCTGTGGTTCTGGGTCTATCGTGCGGTTATCTGATCTTCCGGAGGCCTGCTGTGAGAGCCAACGATGCCTACTCGGCAGAGACCTGCTGTCCGTAACGGCTGACGTTTTCCTTCCCTGCGGCGGACTGACATGTTTTGCGAGGTAAACTTGTGAAGACATTTATCACCATCCCTTCCTCAATTTCACTCTTGCATCTGACATTGTGTGCAGTGTAAGCACTGTAAAGACCTGCAGTGATTTTGTCAAACATGGTTTTCTCAATTCTTGTGTCATGCAGCTCTGAGGTCCTTCTTATCATCCCTCTCGGCCTTCAGCTCCGTGTCATTCAGTTTTCCTCCTCCGCCCCCAGCTCCGTTTCCTTCTTTGTCATCATCTGTTGCTTCTCTTCTCTCATTCTTCCTTGTCCGTTTTTCTATTGCCTACCCTTGTTCGCTTCCTTCTTCGCTCATGTCGTTCCCTCCCTTCCCCCCTCCCTGACGTTCATTTCTCCGCCTGTCTCTTGCATTCCTTCCTCTTCGTCTTCCTGCTGTCCATTGCACTCTCCCAGTCTTTCCTTCTGTTCTGTTCTTCCTAAGGCTTCTTTTGGAATTTTCCTTTGTGTTTATCGATTCATGTCCTTCAGTATGTAATTTTCCGTTTTTTGTTTGTTTGTTTACTCGTACGTGCATTGAGTAATAGAAGGTCCAAAAGCTGACAGGGCCAACAAGGAGTAGGTATGGTGCACAGTTGCTGCTGGTTTCTATTGACTCAAACACACAAGAAATGCTGTGCACGTATGAGATGAAACCCCATCCCTGATCTCTCCCCCCCTCTTCTGAGTGCTTGCTCCTCTGTGCGACTTAATCGTTATCTGGTGAACGGCAGGTGTCCATGGCGATGGCAGCAGCAGTGACATCAGCACTTTTTCCGGGATTCTTTTACTTTTTTCGTGCAAGCCAATTAGCGAGAGACGGCGAAGAGTGTCCCTTTTTTTTAATCTCTTGGCGATTGACCCATTGCACATGCAACAGATCTTGTTGCCGAACAGACGACAAATGGATTTACTCCTGATTCCAGGAGGCCTTTACTTCTTCGTTCCAGCCATTTACAATGCGAGAGATGGCGAAGAGTCTGTTTCATCTCTTGATGATTGACCGATTGCACATGCAAGAGATTTTGTTGCAGAGCGAACGTCAAACGGATTTACTACTGAGTCTGCCCTGACGTCAGCACTGCCAAGGGACGGTGATCAGTGAGGAACTAAAGAGGGCTATCCATACGCAATGCCAGATGGACAGAGGGTTTCTGATGATCGGTGATGGGTTGCATTTGCAATCGCTATGTGTTGCCTGAGGAGGAGGGACACTTCGTGTATGTTCTGTTGTGGAGAGTGGCGGAGTGGTGGTGGTCTCCCCCCCCCCCCCAACATTGACGCACATTACCTTCTGGAGGCGCAGCTTGTGTGCCATCGAGCAATGCAGACAGGTATGTGCTTAACATGTATATATGTTGTACTTCTAATTTGGAGCACAGAAAGCAAGAGACCTCTTCCAGAAGGGGAACGATCTATATCTATCAGCCCAGCTGCTGATTTACGTTACACCAGCGCTGCTACCGTGCGATCACCGATCACGGCGATCAGCAAAGGGCTAGGGATTAGCCCAGATGCCCAGATCTGAATACACATAAATGACCAAAAGCCGATGCTGAGAACATGATATGCGAAAACAGTTGATCATGCCCCTTTAGCACAGGCCATGGGAGGTGACCCATTTGTGTGATGTGACTCATGTTCAGTTAGTCAGATACCGTAAGCTTTACAGGTAGAAGATTCAAATGTATTGAATGTGCCCTCATCAGGAGACAGACAGGACTCCATCCTACCTGTGGCAATTTCCCGCCATCTCGCAGACTGGTGCTTGCATTTTTATGTTGCTTCAACAGTTGATCGACTGTCTGCCGCGCTCTGTTCGTTACCTGTGTCTGTGTGAACTTCCTCTGTTGGATGTCAACGATGTTGACGAGACAATTGACTTTTCAGCTGTGTTATTTCTCGATAGTGTCGGCTGTTCTTGTTATTGCATAGAGATGATCAGTACTATTCAGTAGTATAGGATGGATTGGCAGCCAGGCCGACGGACTAGCTCAGTTGATCTCGCGCGCAAGTGGCATTCAGGAGGTCGTGGGTTCGATCCTGCACAGCCGCCTGCAGCTGGCTTCGTGTCCACCAGCTGAGATAGTTGGCCTGGCTGGTCGTGGTACGCTGCTATCCCTTGCTGGGTGGGGCTCAGATAGAGGCCTCGCCCTGGGAGCGAGAGATAAATGCTTGCGCTGGTAGTTCCCTCTCTCTGGGGGTTTAGTCATGTAGTTAGGTAGTGTGAGGTAATATTTGAGAGAAGAATATTGCTTAGTTGAAGAAAAAAAAAAGGATGGATAGATGGATGGATGGATGGATTGGCAGCCAGGTGGCGTTGCCAATCCATACTCAGTCGGTACACCCCTGAACTGTTGAGAACTTGAGATCAGTTGCAAGGGGCAAATTGAGACCCAGAGGGGGATTTTGCACATTTAACCCTCTGAATTGGAGTTTTTTTTATTGATCAGTTGACAATCCATCAGCTTCAGCTGATGCCAGTAGCTTGTAATCGACAGTTCTGTGCAGGTCTTATGCCTCTGAATTGCACCGTTTGTTTCATTACTTTCCTACTGTGAATTGGAATTTTTGAAAGTTTTAGCTGTCTCTCTTTTCCATTTTGTATGGGTTGATTCCCCAGCATGGTTGTTTGCCTTCATCTGCCTTTGTGCTGATGGGATTTCGCGTTCAAAAAAAAAAAAAAAAAAAAAAAAAAAAGATTTGTCGGAATGGCCGCAGAGAGTTTTGTGTGATGTTTTTTATGTTTTTCATGTTTTTGATGTGATCATATTCCATATTGCGGATGGAAGCATGAACCCATGAGCTTGGCATGAAGTCATATGACTAAAACTTGGCCGCCAGAGCCTTTGCGGGTCAGTGTCAATGGTGCTGCGAAATTTGATGCGGCGTGGCTGTAGATGTGGCCAGCAGTCGTTCGGTACGTCACGGCTGTTGAAATTGGAACGATACAGGGAAGGTGGTCGATTGGAATGGCGCCCATGGCCCTTGCGCATCCAACGATTATATGAGTAAACCAAGAAACGGGCCAGGGAAAAAAAACAAAAAAAAACAGAAAAGACAGACCAACTTCCAAGTGCACTCGAGTCCGTGTTTGCACGGAGGAGGGCTGAGGCCCAGAGGTACTGATCGAATGACATTGGAAAGCTCACGTTAACTGGCGGGCAGTTGAAGTCCCGCATAAGTGACCACGCTATACTACAGATGGGGGTCATGTGCTACTTGGAGCGAAGTGTGCGGCGATTGCCAGCATCCGTGTGGTGTTGTGTGTGGTGTGTGTAGAGTATGGACACTACAGCCTTGCAGTGGTGGGGCGGATATCACGGCCGCTATGGTTCCGCTTTTGAATACCGTGTCCTGGCTGTAGTGGTTACGATACTTGGCTCTTCTTGAGGCCAAGGTTGCCGGTTCGAGTCCGTGCTTGCACGGAGGAGGGGTTCTGCACGAAATTCGAATCGTGGGGTGTGTGAGTGCTCTGTTGTAGGTAATCGCTACTCATCGTGGAATTCGTTTACCAAATTCCCACAGGTCGGGCACAGTTTCCTCCTGACTGTAGGTGTACAGATTCTACAGAATTTCCTCCTCAATTGTGGTTCTTTTCCGAAAAAGAGGAAGGGCTGGAGGCTCTCTTTCGCTCGTGGGAATTAGAGGTGGACTCTGCCATCAGCCCAGGCATGCTTCTCTGACAGCGTAAGCCAGCTTCCTGCGATTTACGGCGAGGAGATCTCCACGAACAGTTGGGAAATGTTTGAGGGCATTTATAACTATCGTATTTACTATTTAGTCTTGACTCTTAAGTCTACTTTTTTTTAGTTCTTTCAACTCCTTTCCTTTCTAACAGCTTGCCTATCTTTTTACCCTAAGCCCACAAGTCACCCCGGTGCATCAGAAATCAGAAATCAGACTACTGAGTAGCGGGAGCCAAAAAGAATTGGGTTGGGGGTACTACTCGGAACAGCGGAGTAACTTTATTTACATGTGTTTTGTAATTTTATATAATAATTTTTATTTATAAAAAAGTTGTAGAATAATGAGATTTTTCTTTGTCTGCCGGAAACGTCTTTGACAATTAACTTGAATTATTTTATTTGTTTTTCAAAGAGTATTTTTGTGGAAAAGATCAACACCAAGTTCGTGTTTCTACATTTTTTTCAGAATTTACGCGCCTAACAGTTCTTTTTTTTTTGTAAAAATTTGTACCATTTCTCGATTAATGCATGTCATCCTTGCGCAGGGGCCATGCTAATCGTTGTCTCTGTATCGTTCGAATTTTAACGGATGTCCCGAAGGACACGCACCTAACAGTTCTAAGACTCGATCTTTCAAATTTCGAGGGGAGGGGGCGAATGGCTTTGGCCACCTGACAACGGTACGCACGTGGATTATCTGTGTGTAAAGGGATTTGCGACTTGTGGAGATGATATGTGAGCTATCTCTGACCAAGATAATTTCTCGAGCCTGTTCACCGCAGAATCGAGTCAGTTCCTAGTTTACCAGGGCGAACGTACGGGACACCCGAGTGTCCGACTTGTCCAGTCGAACTACTCCCCGAGACGTCTGCCCAAGACAACATGTCCACCCCTGTAAAAATAGCGAGGGTGGTTTTTTGGTGGTCTCAGGCCGGTGGGTCTGTCGGAGGTCGAGGGCTGGCAGACCAGGCCCCGAGACATACTTTTGTTGACGCCAGTAGGACCTCGAAACTTGAAGGAAAAAAAAAGGCCCAACCTGGGCCGTCAGATCTTGAAGATTGACGGTCCAGATTGTCCTTTTTGAATTTCAAAATTTGCCCGAGTCTGTCCCTAATCCACCACACCAGCCCCTATTTTGCCTAGACGAGTAGATCGAAAATCGAAGCAGCTTCAGTCCTATTGCAGACAATGAAGACACTTGAGGTGGGACACAATCCACCAATGCAACAGTTGCACCTCTATAGCAAGCACGAAGTGTGTGTGAAAAGTGCTGCAGCTGTTGTCGCAGCTACACTTGTCGCAGCTACACGTGTTGTACCAGCTACACTTGTCGCAGCTACACGTGGTGTACCAGCTACACGTGTCGCAGCTACACGTGTCGTACCAGCTACACTTGTTGCAGGTACACGTGTTGTACCAGCTACACTTGCTGCGGTTGCACGTGCACGTGCAAGTGCAAGTGCGGCTGTTGCTGTAAGTGCAACACTTTGTTCCAGCTGCTGTTGCAGCTGCAGCTACAACAGCCGGCGCAACAAGGGCTGCAGCGGCAAGTACAAGAAGAACTGTTGGAGAATCCCGCCTACAGGGCCTGCAACTGCTGCACCTGGACATACGCAGGTTGGTCATATGGGAATGTGGTGTGGCCATTAGGTTCCCTTTTTTGTGTTTTCCTTCAAACTCCCCATAATAATTATTTAATGGGTTCCCTGAGGGCGAGGGAGGGACTTGGATGCCACAACCAGACGCATGCCATTGGCCTCAGCCGCTTGCAAAAGATACAATTGCAATTGTCCGGGATCCTAAACAACTCAGGTCCCAGACGCCCGACCGAGACGTTCGACCGATAGGTCCGGTGATTGATAGGGCATTTGGTAACCGACGTCAGTTTCACATTTCTGTCTTACCATTTGAGTGATTGGTGTTGTTGTTTTTTTGCCTTGATTCTTGATATTAACCGTTTTTATTGTCTCCAGACTCTCCACCCTATTCCCACTCCCTCGCGAAAGCGTGGAAGGGGAGGTGGCAAAATGGGGTTAAGGGTTCATAAAGGTACTAACCCATTTTATTATCCCCAATGACCCTAATCCTGATTAAGTGGAACCATTGGATTGTGCGAGCCAGATCCTCACCTCGGATAATCTTGACCATCTATTGCCCGGGAGGTGCTCTACTCTATGTATGTTTGTAGTCTTCCCTCCCCCGCTGTGATGTCTTGGACCTTGTAGATTACCATTGGGAGCTGGCACCACCCAATCCGATTGCTTCACTGTTGGGCTAGACTTGAATGTCGCCGACCAAGCCAGTGGAACGACTGACTGAATCTGACCGAGTTTTTCGACAATATTCTTTACATGTTTCTACTGTGTTTGTAACTATTATTCAAATGTCCAGTTGTTTGTGCAAGCATCCCATATTTCTCCCACTTTGCAGATTCCCGTCTTTACCCATGCCCTCCAGCGGGAGTTAGTGTGGAGAGAGAGGCGATCACTACTATCCTCAGCGATCTGTGAGTTGCAAAAGAGGGTTGTCTCCATATCTCATGCCATCTCCTCGGGGATGACTTTTTTTTTCTTTGGCCCTCTCCCCACAGATGCATGAGGTCAGGTCACAACAGATCAACGCACAGATCTCTCTTTGCCCAATTCTAACGTAAAGGACTGTCATTGATGATCGTTTTTTTTTTTGTTTTTTTTTTTTGTTTGTTTGTTTGTTTGTTTGTTTGTTTTTTCGGGGGGTATGGTATAGATCGTGTTTTTTTTTTTTTTTTTTTTTTTTTTTTTTTTTTTTCGGGGGGTATGGTATAGACGAAGTTAGGTTAGTGGTTTTGTTATTGTGTGCTCTTCAGGGTTGTGGATCATCAGGGCAGCGGTCTGGTTTTGGCCATTTCTGTCCCTAGACCATTATCCCAACGCCTGCACCCTCCGTGTGGTTCTATACTTGTTGCTCACATTTTGTTACTCTTCCGGGTTGTTTTGTACGAGGGTTTCCCGGCCTCATGTTCAGTTTATAATGAAGCCCTCTGGGTCCCTTGCTGTTAATAATAAAAAAAAAAAAAAAAAAAAAAGTTAGGTTAGTTAGCCATTGCAGCGAGTGGACTGGATTGGTCTGGCCATAACAAAACGACAGCCATTGCAATTAGGGCACACACTCCATCATGGAGTTCACATCACTCCATCTGCCAGACATTGGATCTAAATCATTTTTTGCCTAAGCGGCCCCATGGAATGTCGTTGCCGAAGAGGAGCCTGGTGATGAACTTGGAGATTAGGGATTAGGGTATCGATCTCCGCCTACGGGTCTATTATTCTGAGTCTGTCTTTTGTCTCTAGGTTGGCTAATTGTGTGTCAGGTCATCTTCTTGCGATCGTTTTTCGTCGAGTGAGCTGAAGCAGCTTGTCTCAACTTTCCTTATGTTTCTTTTGGAGAAGCCACCAAAGGACGGCCTTGGTCCCAATTGTAGCAAATATGGCATTGTTAATTGTCCAGGTCCTTCCTAT